TGTTGACGGACGACCGGACGGACAGACGGACGGACGATCAAGCGATTCTACAAGCTGCATCTGACTATGTCAGAAGAGCTAAAAATAGTACAATAGCTGCACGATGGCTCTTACGGCAATTACACACCAAAGCAAATGAAACGATGTTCACAAATGTCTGGGCCATTTGTAAAAACCTTAGATTACATGTTCTCGGATGTAGGGGTGGTTTACATGAAGACCGCAGATCGTTTAATTTCCCTTGTTCGATCCATTGCGGATTTTAGTTGCAGTCGGAATGATACAACATGGTGGCGAATTCATAAATTTGGTTGCATTCGTCTCAAAAAGTCGCTGTAAGTGTAACCCCGTAAGTACCCAGCGGCAGCGCATCGTAGCGCACTGATGGTTACAAGAAGGTGAATGTATACTGATTCATTTGGTATATCACATGTGAAGTGTTCTTTCGCGATACTTGGCAAATAAGACAACTACGTGTTTAGCTGCAGCCAATGTTTGAAACGGTCTTCTAACCCTAGCAAGACTGTTTATTGGAGCTATAGCCTATGCTATAGCATTAGCAGTGCCAGTACTCAGTACTGAGCGACATATTACTGCAAAACAAGATCTTTAATACTAAAATCAAAATCCCTCAGATACATTTCAAAGCACAAAAACCGTTTTCTATGCTTATATTACACTATTTAGGTTAAAAGTTTTCAAAAAACCACCTACTCTGTAACCACGTTTGTTTCGTAGGCGCAGCCATATTTAATAAATAGATGCACACCAGGAGCACCGATTCTGCCTGACAATCACTGCTTACCATCACTTGTGTCAGTCTAAGATCTCTGCCACCTAGCGGACAGTATTTTTAGTTTAATTATTATCATTAGTAATGCTATTGTTGTTGTTGTTGTTGTTGTTGTTGTTGTTGTTGTTGTTGTTTGTTATTGTTATTTTTATTTTGAGCATAGACAATTGCTGTGAGGATAGACATTTTTACTCTAACGTTTGTCAAGTGTTACAGATATTATTCGATTACTTTTGAGTGCTCATAAATATCTAATAAATACATAGGGATCATACGGTCGGTCATGTGAATTTGTACTAATTTGTAGAGTAAAAGATTGTGACTGTTCGGGGAACTTACTTGGACAGACAGTAAGAAACTGATGAAGAATATTTGATAAGAACCATGAATCATTTAAATGCAACATAAAGACAAAAGTAAATGTGCACCCTAGCTCAGTAGTGAAGGGGTTGTTGTCATATCAGGTACTACATATATGTTACATATATGTACATTTACATATAAATATCTGCCTATAGTGGTCCAATATTGGCCTGGTGATATTGTTTTGCCAATATTAGGCCAACATCAGCTTGATGGGTGGGTATCTAGATAACCCTGTGCCAATATTAATGATGTTCGGAAAATATACCCTGTGCCAATATTAATGATGTTCGGAAAATATACCCTGTGCCAATATTAATGATGTTCGGAAAATATACCCTGTGCCAATAATGATGTTCAGAAAATATACCCTGTCCAGCGGCACGTCCCCAGTACCCCTCAATGGGAGTGCCCCCCCCCCCGGAGATGCAAATACACTACATGGCCTAAAAGCACTGCCAACCAAACTCGGCGCCTCGTATATAATCACAGTTGCAATAGGAAACACAGATGTTTCACGAAGATAAAAAATATTCAATCTAATAGTATCAAATAGTATATCTAGCTAACTTTAAAAATTAGTGCAACTCCTTATACTGACATGCGTACTCACTACAGTTTGAGTGGTGCTCTGGGATGAGTCATGGTTCATTGCACTGATTATATTCACTGAGCGTTGTGATCTGTAGAGGGGTTGCCTTGAGGACTTGAGACGTAGCAGATGTAACCTAAAGTAGCAAGCCTGTGTCAGGGTATACAATTACATTGCTTCATGATAGAACCCAGGCAAGTGCATGTGTAACATTGCTATGATATATGTGTTGATGTTCTGTCATATAAATGATTACTACAGAAATCAGCGTTAACACATGATAGACTACATTCTGGTGGATATTAATTGATAACAACTGATTGGCAAAATCAGACTATATGTCTAATTCACATCTATCTAACTGCTAATGAGTTTACACACTGATAGCACGAGTATTACTCACCTGTACAGCTACATAATCACCAGGTGACATTCTTCGCTTCTCTCCAGGATTGCCTGTAGACACATCAATGTCTGGTATGATGACCTTTGTGTTGCCATCATTGCGGCCAGCCAGCTCCAGTGACGTGCGTTTGCTCTCCTGCAAAGCCACCACAACAAGCAGCATGAGAATAACAAACATCATAGTTTGTGTACTCGGCAAAACTAACAATGTTGATAAGCAATAACATCACATCAAGAGTACATAATAGAGATGTCTCTATTATGTACTCTTGATCACATCCACCATCCCAACGACGAGCTAGTGTACTATTGCTTCGCTGGCACCTAACAGCATGACTGTCTATAAAATGATACAAATTACAATATACATATCATATGTTCATGCTATGAGTTATAGCAACACACTTATGCCCTCTGTGAGTTATAGCAACACACTATATAGTGCCCTCTATATGCTACAACAGCACATCTCCACCTTCTATGTGAAATATTCTATTTATGCAATAACAGCTCATATTTGCAGCATTTACAGCTATTAAGGATACAGTCAGGGTTACGACAGGTACCTCTGTAAAGGGAATTACAACATAACTGCTCACAAATTCAATCAAACTCATATCTATTTCATAAAAGAGATGTCTCTCTACGCTCTCAATGAAAATAGTCAAACCCTGGAATTTTTTTTAAATGCTTTAATTTAGGAAATAAGTTGAAAACATGCAGGAAAATTTGTAATGTTTTTTTAAAACAACAATTTCGTAAACAAAGAGCCATAACTTCTAAAATATAATATTTCATAAAAATTCCAGGGATGGTTTTTTCCTTAAAAATATGTTAGTATTAAAACGGAACAAAAATTCTTGGAATCGGAGTTGCGAGTTTTGAGAAATAGCTTCTGAAAAATCAGCAACTTCAGCATTTCTAACAATGGAGATATTAGCACTTTTCAAAATTTCGCATGATTGAACGGCTGTGTTTAGAATTTACCAAGGTAAGTAGAATTGATACTGTTAGTACTTACTGTGACTTATCTGTGACCGTTTAACATCAACAAACTTAAAGTCCTGCTTTTATAAACAAGTGCCGCAGAGTGACAGCGCTCAACTGACGTGTACTGTAGCCGTGCATTCTTCTGATAAACTCACTGGCAACCGAATCAA